TGTGCTACTGGCAGAATCACCATGTGTAAATAAAGGGGGAAAACGCCTGAAAAAAGAAAACTGAATGCAACCAGCTCATCCAAGAACTGATAAGCTGCAATATATTACAATTTTGTACTTGGGTTTAGATGCTCTTTAATTACTTGGCATTAAAATATGTTACCAGTTTAGATATAACAGCCCTCTACAAAAAGAAATCCTAGTTTAGGGAGGATCAAAGCAGAAGAATTTCCATTTCACCATGTTTTAATTCTCACAAACATTTCAATATAGATGTGTCTGCTCTGCAGAGAATAATACTACATAGGAATCCAGGCAATCTTGATTCATGAATTGCATGATTCTTTGTGGCATGGACAAATCTGCATGTACTGTATATATTCAAGCAAGCAAACAAAAGCCGTAATGCACCATTTTATTCAGCAATATTCTGGTTAATGGTTTTTTATGGTTCTGCACAGAACAAAATGCAGCATGTTCTACTTTTTTTTCTGCACCGGAAACTGACTGGAACTGACTGCACTAGTGTGAACTAGGGCCTTTGGAATACATGGAAAACACTGTGCATGCATTTTTGTTGCAGGAAAAAAATACACTGGACTGCATCTAGTGTGAACTAGCCCTTGGAGAGAAAAACAGCACCCACTGCCCTAAGTCTCTGTTCACACTCGTGCATTTTTCTCCTGCATTTGCTCTCATACTGTACTGCAGAGTTGGGGTGGTGTGGGGTTGTACTGCAGAACAATACAAAGTACATTATTATGGGGCCAGTTCACATCAATGCAGTGCTGCAGCACATTTTTGAACAGGTGCAAGTGCTTCTTTGGTGCAGTTGCAGCATGATTTTTGTCCCACAGACTGCAATAGGAGCGCATGTAAACTGCATGTACTGTAAAATGCATGTACATGCATTTTTAGTGCATTTTTTGGAGGAGTTTTGTGTATAAATCCAGCTTCCTCCCCCTAAAAAAAAAAAAAAAAAAAAAAAAAAAAAAAAGAAAATCAACTGAAAAATGTATTAAAGACCTTGCACTACAAAAAATGCACTGAAAAATGCATCAACATGCTGCAGCTACCTAGGCTTAAAGAAAACCTGTGATTTGCCCATGCAGGGAAATAAAAGGACACTTTTTGATGAAAATGATTAATAGTGACATGTCCCTCTTCCAGCACCACCAATCTTCACTCTATTGAAGAGCTACAGCAGATGAATAATCTTCACTTCCAGTTGCATGGGATGCCTGGTCCACTGAGGTCTGCTGTACACTTTAGTGTCATTGGGGTTGACAGGTGGAACCACAAAACTAAAAAGATTCTTGAGCCAATTTTTTTTCAAGAAGTTATAATAAATTAGGTGTGCTATCCTTTTGAACTCCCAATAATAACTCACACGTAATTCAAAAATAATGATAAAGTGCAAAACAAAGTATACATGCAACATAAAATTCCTACAAATCTAGTGAATAAAAATAGTTAATAAAAGTTCAAAAGACTTTTAATAAATTAAGTATTCTAATTTACTAGATTTTTGAAATTTTTTTGTTGCACGTGTACATTTTTTTACACTTTATCATTATTTGTGAATTACAGGTGAGTTATTATTGGGAGTTCAAAAGGATAGCACACCTAATTTATTATTACTATTATTGTATTGGTGTTTAGTATTCTAACACTAACTTTGTGTGCTGCTTTCCTAGTGCAGCAGGTTCACATAGTTTGTTTTGTGTCACTAGTTATACACTAAGCACAAAAGCTGGTGCCACGGATGTAGAAAAGGCAAGTATTCATTCATTTCTTAGCAGGCGGTGTAGCTGAGTGCCTATTTACCAAGCTCAGATATAGGCACAGCTCATTTAACTCCTTTTCCACAACTATTAGGTTAATTGACATGCACCCTCTGTCAGAATATGGGAGAAGCCACATCTGATGAGGCAGAGGTAGCTGGGCAAGTGATCTGCAGCCAGGTGAGCACAAGAACCAGCATGTGGATGGCCAGGCCAAAGTCTAACAGCATGCAGTTTCTTTGGAAGAACCAACTACTGTGGGGAGCTCCTCTCCGAATGCTGTCAGAATAGTGGGCTGGCCACCCTATGTCTTTGGGCCTTAGATGCCTCCAGCTGTTTGCCTGTGTTACTAGAGCAATGGATTTCATTATGAGTGACATTCACTCTAACTGGAGCTTACACAAGGCTGAGGATTGTTTTTTTACGTACATGTGACGGCACTGGGCAAAAATCACCAAGCACTAGTACTGTAACATAACAGAAAGAGTAGAAAGTCTCGTTCTTCTCTATACACAGAAGAATGGGGCATTTTCTTTGATCCTGATGACTAAACAGAACATCAGGGAAGCATAAATACATTCCATCTGGAGAGGGAAAAGCATAGGTTTGCTATGAGAAAAATTGTTCATAGTCTTCTGTTTGCTAAAGTGAATACACAGTATAAAAGGCTCTGCATCACAACCAACTTGATAGACTTTTATTTGTAAAACTGATGTACAGTTGGAGAAAGTATCATGCCTAGAGTGTCCCGAGCTCTTCTGTTTGATCACACGTTCTGTCCAAACTGATGTTATCAAGATGGAAACAAAAAACGGAATTTCTCTTCAAGATAATATATTTTCTAACTGCCCTGCTGCTTATCTGAGATTACACTTCTCTCCCAGAGTTTACACACTTCTCATTTTCTACTTCCACTGCGCAACATTATGTACTCTATGGCAATAACATGGCCTTCTGCCTTTTGTCATCTTTTTATGTTATCACAAGAAAACTGCATTCTTTTAAAGTATGTTTCCATTCTATAAACCTTGGAAAAAATTTCTTTTGACTCTAATAAACCATATTTTTATACATTCCCATTGCAGAACGTTTGGACATTAATTGATATATTTTATCGGCTAACTTGATTTATCAAAGATGCAAGCTTCTTCAGGGAAATCTATAGAAGAAGAAGAAGGGATTTAAGGTATACTAAAAGCTAGCATCATTATTAACTCAAGGTATCACTTAAATGTCAACTTTTGTGTATTATTCGATGGCTAACATGGTAAAACATTCTACTAATACATTCAGATGGTTACAGTATCTAAGTAGGCCTTGTATTCTGTATTATATGCATATGAGGCATGCACAAACTCAAGATCATACCTACAGCATTCAGCCTTTATGGTAATGTCACCCTATACCTGTTTCAATTAAGACCCAATATTGAGAAGATTTCTCTCCCTGGGTTGCTGACTACATCTTCCGTTAGCCATAAAAATTCTGGCTCAGCTTTTTATCTAGCAAATGTGTCAATTTCCCTCTGTTGGAGACTGCTTATTAATTATTTGAGAATCTATCATGACAGGTCAGCATGGCACCATTGACTAGCATGGACCAAGTTGTCTCCAGCAGGGAGATCTTCCATCAAAGCAAGCAGGAGGTGGTTTATGAGAATCTAACTAACTATACTATTGGAATCTGACTTTACATAGCCTGTATAATCTTGTGTCAAAACAATGTAATGTGTGAACCAGGCTTAACAAGGTGAGAAGATGCAGCAGGAGGTGATCTATTTCAGATAATTTGAACACAGCCAAGAACTGCACAGGCACCAGGATGTACATGATTATTAACATGGATAATTCCTGAACAAAGGAGGCTCTGAACTTTTGTAGAAAAAACAGATGAAGGCATCGCAAGAGCAAGTACCACGTTCTTTGTAAGAGGTAATATAAAGTGTTACATTTACATATTGTTAAGCATGCATGCATATTTACAAACATATATATATGATTCTAATTCCACTTTAAGTGGAAAGGCTGTAGGGGTCACTTCAGATGCAGTTTACTTTACCTTGTCTTAAGGCCCCATGGCCTCTTCCTGCTGCTCTGGATAATATGGAAATTAGAGGGATGCAAGGCTGTGCCGTTATTCTGGTGCCCATGGTGGCATAAATGGTGGGTACAGTGAGTAGGCAAACTAAGCCGTTCAGAGCTTAAGTTAGGACATTTCACAGGTGGTTTAAGATCCACAGTATAGCAAAGAGTCTTGTGTTATGGAGATATACTGTACTGTAAGAAGACAATAGGTAATCCAAAACGCTGCTACCACCCAAAACTGATGTATTGAATTTTGGAATGCTTACATTTGCATTATATTTATTTATTCATAATGAGTGGTAGTTGTTTCAGTGGTTGCTGACAGCCTTATTATATATATATATATATATATATATATATATATATATATATATATATATATATATATATATATATATATATATATACACTATATTACCAAAAGTATTGGGATGTCTGCCTTTACAAGCAAATGATCTTTAATGGCATACCAGTCTTAGTCTGTAGGGTTCAATATTGAGTTGGCCCACCCTTTGCAGCTATAACAGCTTCAACTCTTCTGGGAAGGCTGTCCACAAGTTTTAGGAGTGTATCTATAGGAATGTTTGACCATTCTTCCATAAACGCATTTGTGAGGTCAAGCACTGATGTCGGATGAAAAGGCCTGGCTCACAGTCTCCACTCTAATTCATCCCAAAGGTGTTCTATCAGGTTGAGGTCAGGACAGTGCAGGTGCAGGTCAGTCAAGTTCCTCCACCCCAAACTTGCTCATCCATGTCTTTATGGACCTTTCTTTGTGTACTGGTGCACAGACATGTTGGAACAGGAAGGGGCCATAAAATTGTCCCAAATGTCTTGGTATGCTGATGCCTTAAGAGTGCCCTTCGCTGGAACTAAGGGGCCAAGCCCAACCCCTGAAAAAAAAACCCTACACCATAATCCCTTCTCCACCAAACTTTACACTTGGCACAATGCAATCAGGCAAGTATCGTTCTCCTGGCAACCACCAAACCCAGACATGTCCATCAGATTGCTAGACAGAAAAGCACGATTCATCACTCCAGAGTACACACCTCCACTGCTCTAGAGTCCAGTGGCAACGTGCTTCACCCCACTGAATCCAATGCTTTGCATTGCACTTGGTGATGTATGACTTGGATGCAGTTGCTCTGCCATGGAAACCCATTCCATGAAGCTCTCTACTGTTGTTGTGCTAATCTGAAGGCTACGCGAAGTTTGGAGGTCTTTAGCTATTGATTCTGCAGACAATTGGCGACTTCTGCACACTTTGCGCTTCAGCATGCGCTGACCCCACTCTGTAATTTTACATGGCCTACCACTTCATGGTTGCTGTTGCTGTTGTTCCCAGTTGCTTCCTCTTTGTTGTAACTCCACTAAAAGTTGACCGTGGAATATTTAGTAGCAAGGAAATTTCACAGATGGAATTATTGCACAGGTGGCAGCCTATCATGGTAGCACACTTGAATTCACTAAGCTCCTGACAATGACCCATTCTTTCACAAATGTTTGTAGAAGCAGTCTGCATGCCTATGTGCTTGATTTTATGTGGCTCTGAGGAAGAGGCAAGTCCTCAAAACGCATCAGCCTATTGGATGTCTACATTCCCTATTGCGGACTGTTACTCAGCGCGGTGTTGACCCCGCTGTTCTTTATGATATGCCTTGACTATATTGTCTTTTGTGAGTACAACACCTACTTTATTTTTTATTTAACATTTTTTATGGTAATGCACTAGGCCTGTGCGCCCTCTGTTTTTTCTTTCCTCATTCAGTATATTTGGATTCCCCCGGTCTATTTGAGGGCAGCAAAGTGTGCATGTTCCAGGACATGCTTAATGTGGTTGTAGCCTGCATCAAGTCCATCCCCAAGTGCAGAGCATTTGTGTTTGCTTGATTTTATACACCTGTAGCCATGGATGTGATTGGAACACCTGAATCGAAGGGGTTGGAGGGGTTTCCCAATACTCTTATACTTTTGGCAATATAGTGTGTGTGTGTATGTGTGTGTATATATATATATATATATATATATATATATATATACACACACTGCTCAAAAAAATAAAAGGAACACTTTTTTTTCCCAATATAAATGAACACGTTTTAATCAGAGTATAGCATCAAGTCAATTAAACTCCTGGGATATTGATCTGGTCAGTTAAGTATCAGAGGGAGTTGTAAATCAGTTTAAGTTGCTTTGGTGTTAATCAAATTAACAACAGATGCACTAGATTGGCAACAATGAGACCACCCCCAAAACAGGAATGGTGGTTTTTTTTTTTTACTCCTCTTTTCTGTTTTTCACTAGTTTTGCATTTGGCTAGGGTTAGTGTCACTACTGGTAGCATGAGGCAATACCTAGACCCTACAGAGGTTGCACAGGCAGTCTAACTACTACAGGATGGCACATCAATACATACCATAGCCAGAAGGTTTGCTGTGTCTCCCAGCACAGTCTCAAGAGCATGCAGGATATTCCAGGAGACAGGTAGTTACATTAGAAGAGTTGGACAAGGCTGTAGAAGGTCCTTAAGCCAGCAGCAGAACCAGTATCTTCTCCTATGTGCAAGAAGTAACAAGATGAGCACTGCCAGAGCCATAGAAAATGACCTCCAGCAGGCAACTGGTGTGAATGTCTCTGACCAAACAATCAGAAACAGACTTCATGAGGGTGGCCTGAGGGCCCGACATCCTCTAGTGGCCCCTGTGCTCACTCCCCAGCACCATAGAGCTCGATTGGCATTTGCCATTGAACACCAGAATTGGCAGGTCTGCTACTGGCGTCCTGTCCTTTTCACAAATGAGAGCAAGTTCACCCTGAGCACATGTGACAGATGTGAAAGGGTCTGGAGAAGCTGTGGAGAATGTTATGCTGCCTGTAACATCATTCAGCATGACCGTTTTGGTGGTGGGTGAGTGATGGTCTGGGGAGGCATATCCATGGAGGGACACAATGACACTCAGGTTAGACAATGGCACCCTAACTGCCATTAGGTATCGTGATGAAATCCTTGGACCCATTGTCAGACCCTACACTGGTGCAGTGGGTCCTGGGTTCCTTCTGGTGCACGGCAATGCCTGGCCTCATGTGGCGAGAGTATGCAGGCAGTTCATGGAGGATGAAGAAATTGATGCCATTGAATGTCCCCTATGCTCACCTTACCTAAATCCAATAGAACATCTCTGGGATATCATGTTTCTGTTCATCTGACGCCACCAGGTTGCACCACAGACTGTCCAAGAGCTCAGTGATGCCCTGGTTCAGATTTGGGAGGAAATACCCCAGGGCACCATCCGTCGTCACATTAGGAGCATGCCCCAACATTGTCAGGCATACATACAAGCATGTGGGGGCCATACAAACTACTGAGTACCATTTTGAGTTGTTTCAGTGAAATTTCAGCAAAATGAGCTAGCCTGCTGCATCATTTTTTCACTTTGATTTTCAGGGTGTCTTTGAATTCAGTCCTGTGTAGGTTCATAATTTTCATTTCCATCAAACGATGGGGCATCCTTACATTCCTAACACATTACCCGGTCCATATCAGTATAGATATCCAGCATGATATTTTTCCTCATTGAGATCTGATGTATTTTCAGTGTTCCTTTAATTTTTTTGAGCAGTGTGCAGTATGTGTATGTATGTATGTATGTATGTGTATATATATATATCTCAAAAGGTCCAATCAGGGCAGCTTGGTGTCCAAGTGAAAAAAATATGTAAACAGAGACAAAATAGAAAAATGGCAACCACATGCAAAAAAATTCGTAGGGTTCACTGTAAAGCAGGCAAATACATCAGCCTTATTATTATTCCCTTTTTGGTGTGAAATGCTTTAGGCATCATGTGATACATGCTGATGTTTATTTCCTGACTTACCATATAGTCTCCAGATCTTGATATGTGGTTATTCGGACCATTTCCTCTACTCTGGCAGGAATTAATATCTCCAATAATACCATTGTTCATAGCAGCTAATCAGCTTTATTTTTTCCACACAGTTTAGAAAATGAAAATGTAAAAGCTGGTTGGCTATAGAGACAAAATTGAGATGTTTGTATCAAATACTTTTTTAAGGCTCCTTTCAGATGGGGTGGACTACATCTTGATCAGCAGGGGATCCACTCACACATCCCCTGCTGACTAGAGAAGTGCGGGCAAATGATACATAGTCTCATTTACTGAATTTTTAAATTTTACCCCCTTTCTCTACCGAATCACACAAAAAGAGGTAGCACAGAGGGGTTTGCTTCTCACTTTAAAATAATTTCAGACCTGTATCCGGACTGGAATCTATTCCTTTATTACCCAACCAATTCTGCTCTTGTGATTTCTTGTTTGAGAACTTTGAGAAAAATTATGAATGAAAGAAATGAACAAGCATGACTTGTTTATATGCAGGCCTGCAATTAAACGTCAGTCTATATGTCCAAGTGGCACAGCCCTACGCAAATGGTTGTCTAGCATTGCAAAATTAAAATAAAGAACAAACTTCTGATGCGTTAGTACAGTTTTATACAGTCATGGCCGAAATTGTTGGCACCCTTGATATTTTTCCTGAAAATCAAGTATTTCACACAAAAAAGGTATTGCATTAACACATGTTTTGCTATACACATGTTTATTCCCTTTGTATGTATTGGAACAAATATAAAACAGAGGCAGAAAAGCAAATATGACATAATGTCACACAAAACCCCAAAAATGGGCTGGACAAAAGTATTGGCACCCTTAACTTAATATTTGGTTGCACACCCTTTGGAAAACATAACTGAAATCAGTCGCTTCCTATAACCATCAATAAGCTTCTGACACCTCTCACCCGGAATTTTGGACCACTCTTCCTTTGCAAACAGCTCCAGGTCTCTCTTATTGGAAGGACACCTTTTCCCAACAGCAATTTTAAGATCTCTCCACAGGTGTTCAATGGGATTTAGATCTGGGCTCATTGCTGGCCACTTCAGAACTCTCCAGCGCTTCTTTGCCATCCATTTCTGAGTGCTTTTTGACGTATGTTTGGGGTCATTGTCCTGCTGGAAGACCCAGGATCTTGGACGCAAACCCAGCTTTCTGACACTGGGCCCTACAGTGCGACCCAAAATCCTTTGGTAATCCTCAGATTTCATGATGCCTTGCACACAGTCAAGGCACCCAGTGCCAGAGGCAGCAGCAAAACAACCCCAAAACATCATTGAACCTCCACCATATTTTACCGTAGGTACTGTGTTTTGTTCTTTGTAGGCCTCATTCCGTTTTCGGTAAACAGTAGAATGATGTGCTTTACCGAAAAGCTCTATCTTGGTCTCATCTGTCCACAAGACGTTTTCCCAGAAGGCTTTTGGCTTACTCAAGTACATTTTGGCAAACTGTAGTCTTGCTTTTTTATGTCTCTGTGTCAGCAGTGGGGTCCTCCTGGGTCTCCTGCCATAGCGTTTCATTTCATTTAAATGTCGACGGATAGTTCGCGCTGACACTGATGCTCCCTGAGCCTGCAGGACAGCTTGAATGTCTTTGGAACATGTTTGGGGCTGCTTATCCACCATCCGGACTATTCTGCGTTGCAATCTTTCATCAATTTTCCTCATCCGTCCACGACCAGGGAGATTAGCTACAGTGCCATGGGTTGCAAACTTCTTGATAATGTTGCGCACTGTGGACAAAGGCAAATCTAGTTCTCTGGAGATGGACTTGTAACCTTGAGATTGTTGATATTTTGCCACAATTTTGGTTCTCAGGTCCTCAGACAGTTCTCGTCTCCTCTTTCTGTTGTCCATGCTTAGTGTGGCACAGACAGACACACAATGCAAAGGTTAAGTGAACGTCTCTCCTTTTTATCTGCTTTCAGGTGTGATTTCTATATTGCCCACACCTGTTACTTGCCCCAGGTGAGTTTACAGGAGCATCACATGCTTGTAACATTCTTATTTATCCGCAGTTGTGAAAGGGTGCCAATACTTTTGTCCAGCCCATTTTTGGAGGTTTGTGTGACATTATGTCGAATTTGCTTTCTTTCCTCCCTTTTTTTTTTTTTTGTTTTGTCCCAATACACACAAAGGGAATAAACATGTGTATAGCAAAACATGTGTTAATGCAATACGTTTCGTGAGAAATACATGATTTCCTGGAGAAATATCAAGGGTGCCAACAATTTCGGCCATGACTGTACATACTTTTTTTTTTTTACAATTTTTACTGCCGAATTCAATTTTGCTATTGTGTTCTTGATTTTGAAACATTAAAGGGTTGTTCATTCCGTTTGTTTGTTCTGTTTACAAAGGGAAGTAGCAAAATGAGTGTTAAATGTAATGTTATGTAATTATGATATTCTTTTAACTTTTACTTATATTCGCAAACACTTCCAACAACTGAGCTGTAAAACTTCCTTAAATGGTTTCTCCACTTACTTTGCATAATATGGTAGATAGAGATCAGGTTGCAGAAAAGAGTGGAGAAACTTCTAAAGCACTCATGGGGTCATAGAATGTTTGCTGGTTTTTTCTTACTAAGAAAATATCATATCTTTAAAACAATAAAGTAGAAGCAGGATTGTACCCTCCAGCAGACTCTGGTAAAGTAATTTGTCAATATTGGAGCAGAATGATGATGAAGGCCCACTGCTGCCCATTTTAATGTAAATTTTCAAGCACAGCAGGAGCTTCAGCATGTCATTCCTGTGATGAGGTTTCAGATGATCCCAGAAAAGATAAAAAATGGAGTTCAATTTTTCAATCTCAATCTTTCATGAGGCGTGTCCCTTTATTTCAGATATACAGCGTGCAGCAGCAAAACATGATGTTTCCTGAATATGACCCCTTCACCAGATTCACCATTTTGTGGTCTCCATCAGCTAAACAAGTGTTGCAAAAATGTATGTAGGTCAACTGGACCTATTTTTGCTGCAATGGGATTACAGTTTGAGTCCCAACTATCTTGTGAATTAGTGTGATCATGTTATATCCTTTAT